GTCCCTGTGATCATCCGAAAATTTACCGTAATTTGTTCTTACAATTGGAAAACAATAACTAATTGTTGTTGCTAGTCTAGTACTGTACTTGTGTTTATCATTAACGAAAAAGAAAAAAATCGTTAAAGACAGTAGGCAGTCTATTTGTATAGAAATCGTGCATAAATAATAAGTTGGACATCTTTATTATATCAAACAGCTTTAAAAGACCGAGATTTTTAAATAAAGGACTAGTAATAATAATAATAATAATAATACACAGAATTTCTATAGCGCCAAATCTACAGTTCTCTAAGGCGCTTTACATTCATACCACATTAAAAATATGGACAAAACCTAATTTACTAGTAAAAAAGTTTAAAAAGTTTAAAAATGTGACCTAGACCTAATTTACTTATAAGAAAGTTAAAAAAAGTGCGTTTTTAAACGTCTTTTAAAAATGCTAAAACTCGTCTCAAGTCTCAAGTTGTCTGGTAAATTGTTCCATAGTGTTGGGCCAGATCTTCCAAAACATCGTCCACCTTGGGTAACCTTCTTAAACCTAGGAATAACCAAAGGGTTTTTGTCATCTGCTCTAGTGCCTTTGTTTTCACGCTTTTTTAACAGTTTAGATAAGTACTCTGGTGCAGTTCCTTGGAGACATTTAAACACAAGTAACAGAATTTTGTACTCCATTCTCTTTTTCACTGGTAACCAGTGGAGTCTTTCCAATATCGGTGTAATATGGTCGTACTTTCTTGTTCCTGTGATTAATCGTGCAGCCAGCTTTTGCACACTATATAACCTGTCCAAGTCACAATTTGGTAACCCATATAGGGTAGCATTACAATAGTCAAGCCTTGATGTAATCATACTGTGTACCATTATTCTTGCTGCATCTTCAGTAATACATTTTCTAATCTTACGCATATTGCGGAGCTTGAAAAAACAACTTTTCGCAACATTACGAACATGACTCTTTAAGGTAAGCTTGTCATCAAGTTCTACTCCTAAGAGAGTTACTGATTCTGATTTAACAATACTTTCGTTTTCGATTGACAAGCAAGGAAAATCAGAGCAGTCTCGACGAGGACCTGTCAAAACCAGGAACTTTGTTTTATCATCATCGAGCTTCACCATGTTCTTTGTCATCCAAGTTTTTATGTCATGCATCAGAGATTCCATTCTATCAATGGTTTTCAATCTATTTTCATACTTAAAGGATATGTATAGTTGGCAATCATCAGCATATATATGAAACTGTACATTGTGTTTGCGTGCAATATCTCCCAGTGGCAATATGTATAGTGTAAAAAGTTTTGGGCCAAGGACAGATCCCTGGGGGACACCAAAGTTTACACGTTTTATATCTGAACGTTTTCCATCAATAATAACTCTTGTTGTACGGTTGCTGAGATAGGAACGAAACCAATTCAAACACTGCCCAGAGACACCCAACCGACTTTCGAGCAGACGCAACAAAATACTATGATCAATGGTATCAAATGCAGCACTCAAATCAAGGCTAACCAACAGTACAGTTTTATTGTCATCCAACTCAGATAAAATATCATTGTGTAGCCGAACCCAGGCAGTTTCAGTAGAATGGTGTTTCTTATAAGCCGATTGTAAGCTTTCATCTAAATTATGTTCCTGAATATGATTTGTTAATTGGGTATCCACCACTTTCTCAATTAATTTTGAGACATAAGAAAGATTAGATATTGGTCTGAAACTGTTTTCTTCATCTGTGCTGAGGGAAATAGTCTTCAGTATTTGTGTCAAAAAGGCTTGTTTGAACAGGGTAGGCACGAATGCATCATGCAACGACAGGTTAACAATTTTTGTTATAATCGGGAGTAAGGCAGGAATACATTGCTTCAAGAGCCAAGTTGGAATTGGATCAAGTTCACATGATTTGTTGTTAGTTAACCGAATAATGTTTTCAATCTGATGCTCAGAAACTGAACTAAAATATTCCAACTTTTCAACGGTCTCACAGGAAGATTCAAATCCTAGCAGATTATCGACAGTAGCCAGCGAATTGAGAGCGAATTGTATCAATTTTCCGGACAAAAAAATGCGCAAACATATTTGTAAGATCATCAAGATTATCATGCGGTGGAAATCGACGTTGATTCTCACGGTGTAAAAGTTTATCTAACACTTGGAATAGTACTTTCTGATCACCATAATTTGCCTCAATCTTATCTGTGTAAAATTTCTGTCTCGTTGTAACTAGCAAGTGACTATAATACTCTGAGTGTTCGTTGAACTGACGAATATCTTCAGGTGAATTAGATAATCGGAACTTACGTTCCAACTTTCTTTTTGCTCTCTTTTCTATTAGCAACTTGGCATCAAACCATTCAGCTTGTGGGTGTAATGTGACAGTTTTACTTCTCAAGGGAACATGTTTTTCTAAAAGATCGCGTAAGGCACTGTTGTACAACAGAGCAAGATCAGAAAGCGAGTTGACAGATTGAATGTCAATATCATCTATACTCTGCCGAAACTGGTTTACATCAAGTGATTTCCATCGTCGATAAGATATTGTTTTCCGAGCAACACTCGGTTTCTTTGTGGTGGTTTTAAACTGCACAATACTGTGATCACTGACTAGTATGTTCATCATATCTTGAGAAAGTGATTATACGTACTACTCGTTTCTGTAAGAGCACTAATGATTTTAAGGAAGATTCGTAGGTGTTTCCCCAAACTATGGTTCCATACGTAAGAAAAGGGTATATCAAAGAATAATAAAGCTGAAGAAGAATGTTAAATGTAACATAATATCGTAATTTTGAAAGAATGCCGATGCTTCTCTGAATTTTTTTTTAAATATTATGAGTTTAAGTTTTCCAATTTAAGTGGCAGTCAATATAGATACCTAGTTATTTAACATAGCTTGTTTGTTTAATGGAGTCACAATTGATATAAAGTTTAAGATCATGGGTAATTACTTTTTGAGGCGTACGGAATATAACGTAATTTGTTTTATCAGTATTCAAACATAGTTTATTTGCAGACAGCCAAGAATGTACCTTAATCAAATTGTGATTTATCAACCCCTCCAGCCTCAATATACTATCTTGCAAAAAAAAATAGATTTGCATCATCAGGAAACATATGAAAGTCAAAAAGGTCAGAGCAATTTTCAAAGTCATTAATATATAAAAGGAATAATAACGGTCCTCAAACAGAACCTTGAGGTACTCCACAGGAAACATGCAATTTATCTAAACTAATACCCCTTATTGAAACAAACTGCTTTCTATTTAACATATATGATTTAAACCAATCTTTAGCTATGCCCCGAATTCCGTAGTGCTCTAATTTTGTAATCAGTATATCATCATGATTTACAGTGTCGAAGGCCTTACTTAAATCTAAAAATATTCCACAAGAATATTGTTTATTTTCGACTGCTTTTTGGATTTTATCAGTAATAAGTGTTACTGCTTGTACAGTGGAGTATCCCGACCTAAATCTGAATTGCTTTTCAGATATTATATTCATTTTCTCAACATACTTCATCAACCTCCCATACATTAATTTTTCCAATATTCTATTAAATATAGACAATAAAGAAATTGGTCGATAATTATTAACATAGATTGCAGATCTATATTTAAATACTGCCACTATCTGAGCAATCTTAAATTTATCTGGGACAACACCAGTGCTAAAGGAACAATTATACAAAATCTCTAATGGTTCAGATATATTGCAATATAAAATTTTTAGCAGCTTTGTTGGAATACTAAAAGGACCACTTGTTTTTGATATATTGAGTTTGGCAATCTCCAGTTAAATCTCATTTGCAGTGACTGGTGAGAGGAAAAAGCTAGTTGGTATTAAACAATCCATGTATTCAAGGGATGAAATATCGTTGGAACTAATTGAGTCAACCATTCTTGAACCAATTGAAGAAAAGTATTTGTTAAATGTTTCAGCAATTGTTTTAGTATTTGTGATTTCAATATTATTCTCAACTATTTTACTTTGTATTCCCTGAGTGCTCTTTGTTTTTGGATTAACTATGTCCCTAATTCCAGTCCATATATTTTTAAATTAGAAGAGTTTTCTTTAAAAAAATGTGGTAATAATTTTTCTTGCTCAATTTTATAAGTTTGCCAAGTTTATTGCTATATCTTCTGTATTCCAAAATTAGAAATTCATTATTACTTCCTAACTGTTTGCTATATAGTCGATTTTTTTGTTTAATAGACACTTTTGTTGCTGAAGTGATCCATGGTTTAAGGCTAAAACTGACATCCTGTCTTGATAATTTCTTAAGTGGTGCATGATTTTCAATCACCTCTGAAATCTTGCAGTAAAAACTGTTAAAAATATCATTCACATTATTATTTTGTGGTAACGTTACATTCCAATCAATTGAAGAAACTTCATTAATCAAAGAAGCCTCATCAAAATTAGCATAGTCTCTCTAAAAATATTTGTTTTAGAAATTTTACTTGTGTTTTTATGAATTATAAGGAAATTTGGTAAATGGTCAGTTAAATCTGAAAATATATTTTCACTTATAGTATGATAGCCTAATGAATTTATAAAGATATTATTAATTAAAGTTGCACTATGATGAGTTATTCTGACTGGCTTGAATGATTTTAGGATGGTGATTGTATGTAAACATGGTATTAACAAACTTTCAGTTGGGCCATGTATTTCATAGTTTAGTAGATTAATATTAAGATCTCCCATTAATATTAATAATTTATTCTCATTAGCAATTTTGTCAAGGATAGAGTATAAATAATTAGTAAAATATCAATCCACAATGCTTCGAATTCATTTTTTGTGCATAGATCATCTCTTTTCGAGTATTTTAAATTATTGTTCACAAATAATCCAACCCCACCAGCATTTGATAGAGAAGGTTGTGAAAAAAATTATACCCACTAATGTCAGTATTAATTATACACTCTTGTTGCTGTTTTATCTTTGTTTCCGAAATTCCAATCACAGAAAATGAAAACTTTAATTGAGAGAGTAGTAAAGAAAGTTTATCAATATTGGCTGCAAGGCTCCTAATATTACAGTGTATGGTTGAAAAAAGATCATGTTTGGATAAAAAGGAAATTTCCCTACAATTGAGAAAATCCTGCTCGGAATAATAATTAAAATTTATCTGACTAGGAACATGTTGATCAATATCAACATTTTGTAAGATTGGAATCTTTTATATTGCTGAGGTAACATCAAAGCAAGCCATTTAGATCTAAGTCACTCATGATTAACATTAAATATACAAGTTCCATCTATTATTAAGCCTCGTACTAATTTACCACACAACAAATATTAAATAGATTGGCAATATATAAACTTATCTTGAAAGTCTCTGCAGATCTTGAATGTTCTGAATAAGTATAGCTGAGCTGTCTTTATCCTTACGTAAATAGATTTTCCCATAACGTGTCCATATAAATTGAAAACCAATTTCCCTTTTCTTTTCAAGACATGTTTTAAACAGAAGCTTACGTTTCTTAGTTACGCTCTCCGCCTAGTCTAGGACCTGTATATGAGTTTGTATGCGATTCATTTAGGACAGGTAATCTCAACTGTTTTAGGGTAAAATGACCATGGCGGTCAACATGGCCACCACAGCAACCTAACTAAATGTATTATATTTTTTTTATTTTTATAATTGATACACAAATATTTATTGCTTTTATCATAAATCACAAATATACAATAAATATAATGTACTTAGTTAGGTTGCTGTGGCCTGTGGTGGGGAACAAACGTTTCGTGAAAATATTCACTCCCCCCTGTTATGTAACCCACAAGGTGTTTTCGCGAACTTGCGCGTGACTTTTAAATTATTTCTTTTGAATTCAAACAGGACAACTATTATGGGAGGTTTTTTCCTCCCAAGTACCAATAATATTTTCAATATTTGCATTGGTACTATTCTATAAGGAAGTGCTCTTGGATAATGTAATCTAAATACATATGAAAACGAAGAAGTGGCATTTATAGGGCAGTGAAGCGGCGAGCCATTAAAATGGCGGCAATTTCACGAAATATCGAAGGACACAATATCGAACAATAAAATACACTGCACTGTTACAAAAGTGGATGAAACCTTCTTTGAAATCTTCTTCAGCCATTTATAATTATGTAAAAGTACAATAACTGGATGATATTTGCGAGATTCGGCGATAAAAAGCAAACAAGACGGCAAAATATAGCTGAAATCGTGTTTTCGTGGGGGGTAAGTGAAATAAAATGTATTATATTTAAAGAAAACAATGACAATCCTTATAAAATCAACAATATTTATGTTAAATTAAGCATAGTTTTTCACCCCATAATATTTTTTTTAGGAAATAACAATATTTAATTTCTGCCAGGCATATTAGTTATTTTGTGCATAATCAGCAATTTATCTGGGGTGGTGCATAGTCATTTTCTGGTAAAATATTATACTTAGACAAATTTTTCCTTCCAATGACCACCCCTAAAAGCAACCCTTCTAAACACTATAAGCACATCAGAAAGGCTATCGCTTTTCCTTTTTGGAAGTTAGAGCTATGTCGACACTGCCGTTTCCGGGCGGGGTCATTTTCAGGACTTTCGCCCCGGATTCAGGTTTTCGCACATATGCCATGTTGACCGCCATGGTCATTTTACCCTAAAACAGTTGAGATTACCTGTCCTAAATGAATCGCATACAAACTCATATACAGGTCCTAGACTAACCATAAAAATCTTCGATTCTACATGTCTAGTGTAGCCAAGATCTTTCAAACTGACATTTCTAAAAGTGTACAGCTTATCTCTAATATCTCGTCGTGTAAATTTAATAATAATAGCTGGTACTGGAATTGTACTGAAAGAACGACCAGAATGGGTAGTGCCAGCAGCTGGGGTCCCCAAGCGATGACTAATAGATATATCAGTTTCGCTAATATCAATCCCAAGTTTAGATGCCAATTTTATGACAATTTCATTAGTATTCTCGTCAGGAACCAAAGGAATCCCTCTTATTTTGAAACATTCTCGTCTTCCATACTGCTCAAGTTTATCTTGAGCAATTTTCAGTAGATCATTTTCACCCTTTGTGTTAGCAAGATCACGTTTTAAAATAGAGTTCTAATCTTTTAGCTTTTTCATTCCTGCTTCCATATTTATAGCTTTATCATTTAACTCATCATATTTTGCACTTAGAAACGATAACGAACACATAGCTTCATCAACTTAGTATTTAAATCGTCGAATTTCGAGAATAAAGGCTTCAACTTTCGATCAAAGATAGCTTCCAAATTTTTTATTTCTGTTGCCATTTTGACGAATATGCTTGTAAGGACATAAAACATATAAATAGTAAAAGAACAGTAATCATTGACACCAGATTGATATGGATTGAGTAAGCATTTTACGGAGCGATAAAACAACCTCCATCTTGCTTGGTGACCAGAATGCTATTCTAATAGACAAATCGGTTACTATGTTATTTCACTCTTTGCGGTACCAGACTATTTCACTTGTCAAGGGAAGATCCTTTAATATGTGCTTACTGCAGTGTAAAGCCAGCCTGATTATTTCGTCCTGCTATGCTATTATTTAGTGTTCATAGACTTTGAAACAGTCACTTTCTAAAGAAATGAATGATGATTTAAAATTTGCATATATAGCAGGATCAAATTGTTGGGTTGGTTTCAACATTGCTGCTTATGAATATTAAATTTCTCTTCTCTAATTTCTCTAAAGATATTTTCTATACATAGAATAAGTAAGAGTGCCAATTTCTACCTGAACTAAAATTTCAATTATTCCTTTTTCTTCAAGATTATGTTCAATTTGTTTGTCAAAGCAGAGTCCGCTAGTAGCATAGGAACTAGTTATGCATCAATGAACCGATGTGGAAAGACGAATGCAAAGAAAGCGCCGGACAAGAACTATAATTCATTCAAAGAGTTCATGGACAGAGAAACTGAGGCACACGTTATTGCAAAGTGGATGGTTTTGCTGGAATTGAGAATTTTAAAGGTATAAAGCCAACCATTTATATTTTTCATTTAATGTTTAAAAACATTTTTCATTGCTGGTATTCTTTTTTTCTATTAATTTATCTATAGTCAACTGCATATTTATTATGTATCTTAACATGTATAAGATAGAAGAAACATTTTGAATTATGTTTCTACAGACACCCCTAAAAAACAGGCCAATCCCTGCAGACGCAGATACGTGGACTGTTGAAGAAAAGTCATCATGGTTGGCTTCAGAGACCAAGGAATTCCTAAGTGGTGTCTTGTTAAAGCAAGAAAATTTCACCAATAGGGTTAGCAATATTGATGCAGCTCACAGGGAGGGCTTTCCTTGTCGTAGTCCCAACTGCCAAACTGTATTCTCCTTACATTCAAGTAGAGTAAGGTATGTGTAGTGACATAGAGAAATTATTCTTCCCACATGGCTTCGTTTATAAATGATCAAGAAACAATCGTGAATTGACCTAAGCACCCATATATGAGAAAATGTTAAGCAAAGTTAAACATCCTAATAATTTAAAATATTCATTACAGGCATGAACTATCACAGCATCCTGGATTGGACATTGAAAATGATGGTGACCATGACAGGGACAGCTTGGGTTATTACAAGTGCAGGAATGAAGAGTGTAGGCATATTTTCACTACTAATGCAACACGAAAAAGGTAATGATAGAATAGAAAGATTGGCCTTCTCTTGAAAAACAATTAAAGAAGAGTGAAATTAGGGTATAACAAAGCAATACAATGATACTAGTTATGAGGAAATTCGTTTCACTTGATAGGTTAGCTAGCAGACCTTAGCAAGTTGATCTATTAACTTCTCTTGTTAACCTATCAAGTTACATTGTGCACTACATGTATTAATTTATTCTTTATTATTTATTATTTATTCTTTAACAGTAAAGCCAGGCAGTTTTTGCACCAAATTGAACCGATTATCAGTATCACCATCAGAGTTTATTACTCGATCTTTATAAAATACTATTTTTTTAAACAGACATGAAAAACAATTGCATCAGGTGGAACATTTCCATGAAGCAGAAAAAGATAAAGAACCACCCAATGATGAAGAAAATAATGCAAATACCTCCAATGGCAATATCTACAACTATCACAATGCAAGGTTACAATGTGGTCTCCTGGTATTAAATATGATGGATGCAATAAAAGAAAGGGATGGCAGCCGACTGGTGCGGTGTTTGAAGATAGTTACTATTTGAGTACAAGTTTAAGCATACTAAATATGCCTATGTTTTGTTGCTATTTTTTGCAAAAGTCAATACACGTTTGTCAAAAACATATGCATATTTGCTTGTACATAATAGATTTATCAACAAAATGGGAAAAAGCAGGAAACATTCCCATAAAAATCTTCATATGGAACATCTTAACCTAGATGTCAAAAAACTCCTCAATGCAATAAGTGGGAAAATCACCAAAGCAGCAGCTCAGCGATGTGCACAAAGCTTAACAGTAACAAATACAGTATTGGAAACCATTTATCACGAGTGTGAAAAATCCCATCGCAGTGGTTATCCTGGGGAGAAAAATAAAGATGAATCTGTCAAGTCCATTGCTGCAGTTCTGTTACAAGGCAAAATGTTTGATCACATTCCTGGGAGATATTATCCAGGTTTTGAACGTTGCAAGAGTAACATTCTTGATATTGAATACAGGGATTTCTTCACATGGGCAAAGAACCATCTTAAACATTGGAAAGGGATTTATGAAACAGGAAACAAACAATAATAAGCTGCCATTCATACATTAATATTTTTGTAATACTTGTTTACAAGCCAGTAAATACTAAAAAGTGGGACTGGATAAATTACCTGTAATTTACTTTCAATTGATCATAATGAAAAGGATGGCAGCATGTACATTTTACCAGAATGCATTGCAAGCATCAAGAGTAAATGCATGAATGAAGATGACATGAAACCACCTAATGATGAGAAATTCTAGCACAATGAAGAAATTAACCTGCCTTGTGCATGTTTCTGAATGCAAAGAATTCTTAAAATGTACATCTGCCATCTTTACCGTTTTGGTCAATTGCTTAAAGGAGCAGTGCCATCGCGTGCGCATCCTTTCTGCGCATAGCAAAACTTGAAAACGTCGGCCGACGTTTTCAAGTTTAGTGTATCCAAGATGGCGTCCACTTCTGGGGGCACGCATGGAGGCAAACGGGAAAGTTCTGGGCGAAAAAGAAAGTACACGAGCGGAAGTGAAAGAAAAAAAGCTTGGGATAAAGGGCACAAGAAAATATATTTATCCATCAACATATTTAAAACATGGAATGATGTTAAAATCGAGGCTGGATATAAAGCATGTAGTGACAACGATTTCGCAGCGCATCTGCTCTTTTTAGAGTATCGAAGAAGGTATGATAATGTGGTTTATATGTTCCAACTCGATTGAATGTGTAAAGCATTGGTATAAATGTGTTCAAGTTCGAATTCTTTAACTATTTTAGGTCAGACATCGATAAATCGGAGCGGCAAAAGTACTTGAGCCAAAACCAAAGGAACGGAAGGACGCCTCTTGCAGAGGATTACAGTGATACTGGCGCGCAAAATGTAAATGTTGCTCAAGGTAATCTTAATGAATTCGTGAATAAATTGTAAAGTACAAGCGGAAAACGATAAATATTAAGAAATCTTTGAAAACTCTGTAAATTTACTCAAAGATGAGTATAAATTCAGGTTTATGTATCCTTTCATGTATGTTTACATATAACCACATTTTTGTATTTCCTGCTAGCAGGCAGTTGCAGTAATACAAAAGGACATTTTCTCAACTTGTAACACTTATCGCTTAATACTTGCGCATTAAAGGAACTTTTGGCTTTGTAGACGCTTCCATTGTTGTAATTCTTGCCAAAAAGGGACAGTTGGTCTTGGAAAAATTTGCATATTTATGCGTCAGTCAAATCCAAGGTTGCCCATCCCTCCCTGGGCCACGACTGGGCATTTCACCTTTGCTCATTTCACATTTGCTCATTTCAACTCCACATTATGTTCTAAATTATTTTAGGCATGGAAACATCCACACCATTGAAGGGTACAGAATGCCTCCAGACAAGTTTTCCATCTCAATCTCCCATATTTGGACATCAACCAGATGAAATTTGTAACATGGAAATAGTCACAGATCCAAATTTGAGTGTTCTTGAGTCTGAAAGGTACTGATTATGGACAGTAACTTTTCAAAGATGAATGGGTTATGTATGTTCTAATTGTACGGCTATATGTTCTAGTTCTACCATTGATCTTAATAAAACAAATATGTCACTATTCACTGATGATGAGGAATCCAATGATGAGTGTAGTTTGGAGGAGGACACCAGGTATAAGATTATTATGTACAGTATATAATCACTATACATATTACATACAGTCATAAGGTTTCACTGTAATTAACCCATCTAGGGCCAGCGCTCTTCTCTTGACGAGTAAAATCGTCTGGCGTTAGACAGAGTAAAACCCAAAGTAGGGCGCATCAGGGCATGTTGTCGCTTAATGGGTTAAATACAGTGGTGTATATACAGTACATGTATTCTTAAAACAAGCGTTGCTCATTGTCACTGTCTTGCAATGCCAACATGGATGGGTAGGGGATTACATTTTTAAACAATATTTTGCTGCATGCCCAACCTAAGATTTGGAAGCATCTTAGTTTTTGAAATGGCATTTCCTGCATTTGTAACAATAGTTTTGAAGATACATTCATAAAGGGGGCTCAAACAACCCAAATTAACATCCTATTTTAACAATGTAGGTTCATCCCTTAAAATTGACCTGTAATTTTAACAGTGGGGGCTTGCCCAATACACCACTGATTAAATATTATCTTTCTTTAACTAAATATTATACAATTCCTAATTTTCAGCTTAGATGAGCTTACCAAGTCAGTACTTGAAGATTTGAATGATGAAAGGCAAAGTTACTCAGAGTAAGAAATTTTATACATTACAAGGTTATATCAGCCACACACCGACATGGTTTGAGTCGGTGTGTGGCTGGTATAAGCAGTTGTGCAATCCGAACTGAATAAATATGAAAATAAATCAAATTGATTGTGTCAAAGGCTTATTAGAATCAAAGTGTTTTGGCGGGTTTAATTTTTGAAACATAACCTGTAAATATCCCCTATAGGCAAAAAATATAATCACTATAGAGAAAACCCTCAAGTTAAAGACTGTAATTTCAGTGAGTCAACAAAAAAATCGAATGTATAAACATGGTATATGATCACTCTGCTTCCAAAATTTTGTTTCCAGCACCAAATTGAATGGTCATGTTTCTGTTACAGTGAGCTGTATCAAGTAATTTTCATTTATAGTATCAAATAATGTTATTATATTTTTTATTATTATTTGTAGCTCTATGAGAAGTAGTGATGGTGACTCTGATGATACATGTGATGAACATCATGATATTTTCCCAATGTCTGATGATGAACAGGAATCAGATGGTGATGAATTACAACACGCCAATGTGGAACATGTTGAGCGACAAGATATAAGTGACGCACAACAGTCACCCAGCACTCCTCTGTTTACTTTTGGACCTCATCAGAAGTTTAGCAGAGGGCTCGAGATATACGCAATGAAAGAAGAGTACAGCATGGTGCAAGAAATGAAATTTGTCTGCTCTCTTAATTTACTGCTTGGAGCATTTCAAGCTAGATGCCAGACACCTGGGTGTACCGCCTTACCCAACATCAGACATCACTTTGTAGGTGTTACACTAATTGTGAACTGTGTGTGTTCTTCAGGGCATAAGTATAGATTTTGTTCATCCAATCAAGTTAATGACATTTATGCCAATGATCTCCAAGCAGCTGCTTCACTTATATTATCTGGAAGTAATTATGCAAAAGTAGAACGCATGGCAAAGTTTTTGAATCTGCAATTTCTGTCGAAGACAACGTATTACAGATACCAACGGCTGTACTTGATACCAGAAATAAACCGGTGGTGGAGTGAGATGAGGAGCGATCTCCTGAAGGAGTTTTATGAAAAAGACGTCGTAATTGGTGGTGATGGCCAATGTGACTCGCCAGGTTTCAATGCCAAGAATCTTTGCTACTTCATGGTGGAGGTAAATTCAAATTGTATTCTTGACATTGAAATCTTGGATAAGAGACATGTTGGTTTAATTTCGACAAATATGGAAAAAGAGGCGGTCCAACGAAGTCTAGATCGCCTTACAGAAGAAATTAATGTGGTTGAGCTGGTTACTGATGCGTCCACATCTGTGAAAGCATTACTTGGTGAGTTATATAAATTGGAAATTCATCTAGGATATGAAGAATATAATACTGTACCTGAGATGTATATTAATTTTCTAGGCATTTCTTGAGAAGTCAAGGTATATATACAGTACAGGAAACCTTAGATTGAATAGCAGATGTAGAGTGCAAGTTTATCTGTTTGTTTATTGATAAAAATATTTTTCAATTTTAGAATCCCAATATGGAAATATAGTGCATAGCCTGGATGTGTGGCATAAATCCAAGAGCATTAAAAAATGTCTGGCTAAGGTTTGTATATTTTACAAAAGATTTTGCAATTTTTGACTTAGACATTTTAACTGGACTGAACAGCTGTTTTAGCATAAAAATAATTTTACATCGCCAACTATCGCACATGTTCCACCACCTCCTACAAAGGAGATTGCTGCTCGAAGAAGCAGATTTACAAAAGATTAGGCAGATATCACTAAATGCCATTTTGTAGTGCAATATGACACTATATATTCTTTGCTTGAGTATATTATTTGCCACTTTGTTGTAAATATTTTTAACTGTTTTGTACCTGAATTGCATATGCAAAGAATTGCTTTTTAATGTGGTGGTGTCACCCTTTATAATCAAAATATTTCCATTAATTGTTCATTAACACATCAAGAACCAACGCTCTTCCATTCATGCAGGGATGGATTTACTGGGGGTGCCAGAGGGGGTGTATTTTTATGTAAAGCAAAAAAAGACAATGAGATACAGTAATATGAGTAATAACATGATAAGTGAACTGTGAACAACAATTACAATTCACAATACAGTAGTTGATGGGCGGGCGGCACACATGACCGACACAACTCGGCAGTCGGCACCAGAGCACCCCCCTACCAGATCATGCTGAATCCATCCCTGCATTCACGAGTAAAATGGTGTGGCGTTAGGCAAAGTAAGATACCAAATTAACCCATTAAGGGCCAGTGTTCTCCCCCTGACAAGTAAAATCGTCTGGTGTTAGACATAGTGGAAACCAAACTACATGCATCAGGGTGCATTACACCTTAATGGGTTAATTAACAACTAGACACATGGCCAGAAAGGCAAGTTAACCCATTAAGGGCCAGTACTCCCTCTGACGAGTAAAATTGTATGCCGTTAGAGGGCACATTAGGGTGCATTGCACCTTAATGGGTTAAAGTAGGGTGCATCAGGATACATTGTCACATAATAAGTTTTAAAAACTAGGCACATGGGCAGACAGGCAATATATAAATTTGTGCGTATTTACATTATATATATACTAGTGTTCCCTATACCCCATATAAACACCAGTGACAGAAGGAAACCGTTCCCTAATTTTAAGAACAACACATGATGGACAGACTCGTCTGTTTCCTTTACCAAGATGACCATGACGAGCAAGAATGAATTGTCTATAAGCAGCTTTTCTAAAAGCCCTGGTACTGTTATCTTCTCTGTCATTTCTGATGTCACTTGTATTCCTAATGCACAATTCTAGCACATCTGGGTCCAGACACAACTTTGTAAACCGAGAAGAAAGTGTAATACATTTTTTTAATTTGCAACACTTATTCTCAATTTCCTGTGGCATAGGATGACATCTGCCACAAACAAACCAGTCTGCAACACCATCCATGGTAGGTTCCTCTTCTAGATCTGGGTTCTGAGGGTTACTGGATGCTTGAGTTGTTGCTCCACTGTCTGTTAGTGATTGTTCCATTGATGTATGACCAAACTCTCCAACATTTTCACTTTCATCAAGGTCATCCTCCATAATTAGTAAGCTATCGATGTAATCCATACTGCCTATCCCCCTACGTAAACTTCGAATAGCCAGCTTCCTGACTAACCCATTATCTAATGTTCCAATGAAATCCTAAAATAGTATGAAAAAGATCTGGATTACATTTACATGTAAAAGGAAATGTAGTAGAAATGTGTTGAAAATACAATATAACAACCAAACTATTGACTTTAAATTAATTATTATAAAGCCCTCCCAATAAATAACCCCAATATAAGCATACCAAATTGAACAAAGAACAAGTTTCACATGAAAATATGTTTGAGCAGGACATTTTACTTTAGGCTGTTTTAGCACACACTAGTACACACATTCGAGTGCATAATTTTAAATTAATTTAAACCAAATTTATCCGAACCAAATTTACACTTTTTAATACCTTTACATCTTTATGTTCTTTTTCCCTCTGCACTTCCTCTGACTCAGCCGGCTTGTGACTTAAATTAAACCCCTTCGATCTGCTTTGCTTTGCTCCCTTTGCACGTGTAGCTTTTCCGGTTGCGTTGATTCTCTCAATATCTCGCTCCCTTTCCAAAATTTCTGGCATTGCCTACAAACATCGTACAAGAAATCGTCAAATTTAAGGCGTTCGTACAATCGTTTGAAAGTACGATACATTACTAAACTTACCCTATTCTTGCAAGGTTTATTTCGAGTACCACACTTGCAATCTTCTGAACATTCTACATTATTCCCCTTGCAAGGACAGCCTGGGGTCCCATTTTCTCTTCTTTTCACACTGCAGGAACTTTTACAATCGCAACGGCTTGTCTATATGAAAGCGAAGACATAGTCAACTCAACAATTTGGCTCTATATATGCAAATATATGCAAATTTTTACCTACCATGTTGATTGTTTTGAATCTCGATTGCTTTTCTCTGATCGCTCCTCTTAGCTGGCCGAGTGATTTCCGACAATTTCCGAAATTCTCTTTGTTATGCGCAGAAAGGATGCGCACGCGATGGCACTGCTCCTTTAATACAATATTACATGCACAACAATGTTTTTATCATAGCAAAGCCAATAAATATAAATATCAAACATGCAATGACCATAACATACCAGTTAATTGAATGAATCATCACTATTTTGATGAAACTTTTAATAATACACTTAGAGAAAGTGCAAACGAGTCAAAAGAAATCATAATCTTAGGAGATTTCAACATTAACTTTCTAAAAGCGAGTGAACATAAAGATTTTAAAGAATTAATCAGACTTTATGGTTTCAGTCAAATTATTAAACAAGCAACCCGTATTTCTAAAGATACATCAACGCTAATTGATATTATACTAACAAATAACCCATTAGTATTGTCTAGGAGTGGAGTTTTTATGGTTGACCTGAGTGATCACGAAATGGTTGGTTGCATACGTAAATTAAACAATGTCAAATTTACTCCAAAGGTTATAACATGTCGTAATTACTCGGCCTATGAGTCTGAAGTAATGAAAGAAGATTTTAGGAGAGTCAATTGGCAGTCATTATATACTATGAACGATGTTAACAAGGCATTAGAGTACTTTAACTATACTGTTAAAGCTATCTTTGACCGTCATGCACCTCAAATGGTTAAGAAAGTAAGAGGAAAACCTTGTCCATGGATTAATTCTGATATCAGAAAAACAATGTCGTCTAGAGATTGTATGCTAAGAAAAGCGCGTAGAACAAAAAAGGTAGAACATTGGAATTTATATAAGAAATTACAAAACGCTTGCAATAACAAAATGCGGTTTGCGAAGAGTACATATCATAACGACTTGTTGGAAACAGCATCAAGTCCTAAAAAGTTTTGGAATATAATTAAAAATATCTTTCCCGCGAAATCTAAATCGATATCGATGTCAGTGAACTCAAAAAATGACAAAAACAAACACAGGGTAAATATCTTTAGTACATACTTTGCTAATGCTATTCAACTGCTAAAGGAAAAATCAATGCCGTTAAAACGAATTTTGCATGGAAGCGACAAGAACACAGAGAATATTCCAAATTAAGCATATATCAACAGGTTTTGTCCTTAATGAGCTGAAAAAATTTCAAAAAGGCAAGTCCACTGGGGTTGATGAGCTGCCGGCAGGCATGTTGAAGGATATTCGCGAGTTTATTTCATATCCATTGTGTCATATTCTAAATTTATCGATTGAAACATCCACAGTACCAACTATGTGGAAAGTGGCAAAGATAATTCCAATATACAAATCTGGATCATATGAACTTCCTGAGAACTTTCGACCAATATCGGTGTTGCCAGTTTTGTCAAAACTATTGCAAAGAGCTGTTCATGGGCAATATCTTAGATTTTTAGAGGAAGAAAAATTATTAATTGATTGTCAATACGGGTATCGGATGAAGAGATCAACAAGTCTAGCTGCAATTCAATTTATTGATGACATAAGAAACGAAGTTGATCAGGGGAACCTTGCTGGGGCCATTTTTATAGATCTCAGCAAGGCCTTTGATACTATTGGCCACGATGCCCTTCTTACAAAGTTACAGGCATATGGTGTTCGAAATAGAGAATTGACACGGTTTACCGACTATTTGTTCGGACGACAACAATGTGTTCAACTTGGAGGCAATAAATCGTCAAACCAACCTGTTTTTAATGGAGTTGCTCAGGGATCAGTGCTGGGCCTTTGTTATTCCTAGTGTTTTATAACGATCTTGTTGACATAGGGATAAACTCGCGTATTATAAAGTATGCTGACGATACTGTTATCTATTGCTCTGGAAAAAATATAGAACTGATAGAGAAAACACTGTCAAGCGATATGGATGTAATTGCAGAGTATTTTGATGCAAATGAATTGTTAATAAATCTAAAGAAAGGGAAAACTGAAATGATGGTTTTTGGTACTGGAAAAAGATTATCTGCACAACTTCGTCAATTGAGAGTTGAATATAGAGGGCAACCTATAAATACTACACAGTCCTACAAATATCTTGGTTACGTACTTGATCCTGGTCTGACACTTAATGAAAACTTTGAGGCACCTTATAAAAAGCTAGTAACCGAGTACGATTATTATCAAGGATCCGTAACTATGTGACACCAAGTGTGGCGACGAAGATATATCAAATGATGATTGTACCAATAATTACGTATAGTGGGATGGTCAAATTATTTCTGACTGAGACGAAGCGACGTAAGCTTACGTCCATTGAAAACCGAGCACGAGCAATTATTGGTGAAGAAATATACTTGCCTGATCTGGATAAATTGATAAGAAAGAAAGCGTGTGATGTTTTACGAAAATGCTTGGAAAAAGATATTTGCAGTAACTTCTATAACTATTTTGAAATTAAGAGCCATAGTCATAATACGAGAAACACAAATAATATGATAAAGCTACCAAAAGTAAAGCTTGAATTTGGTAGACAAGCTTTTCGCTTTGCAGCGGCAAGAATTAATAATGACTTGCCTTGCGAGATTCGAGCTGAAAAGGACAGCAAATTATTTCGAAAACTGCTAGAAAATTATTACCAATGATTAAATTCTAGTATATATTATTAATATAGATTATAGATTATTTAGTATGGACTATTTAGTTAAATAGAGGACACATATTGATAACAGTAGATTACTGAAATGTTTATCCTCTGTAAAGATTTTGAAATAATAATAATATGAAAGGATGCAGGATTATCATGATTCTCAGTCTCATATGACATAGCAGCATTTAAAATTCTATTGTACACAGGTCTTGTCAATACAGGAACATTATGAAGACTTCCATCAATCACAACATCTTCAAATATTTCATAGAAAACGTCAAGTACGATTAGTGCCACATGAATCGACGAAATAAATCCATATTCCATAAGGTCATCGATACTCAAGATCTTCTCACAGTTGAATGTAATTGACTCAATCACATTGTCTGAAAATCCATGTGTGATATCAGAAGAATCAAATAATGTTACACCAGAGCTTACAGCAAGGGAAAGTTGGACTTCTTGTAATGCCTCTTTAAGACATGTTCTATCATCCTATGTCACAACTCGTTGCATAGCCGTATTAGTTGTGAGCTTATTAACCACATTATGATCAAACTCGTAAAATGGATTTGTGCATTGACCATCACCACCACATGCACATAATTTATGACATCTACTGCAGCAGTCATTCATTGCTGGCACATCTATATTATCCTCAGTGAAATGACATAACAGAAGTTTCCGTATGCAATCATTCTTTTTCATCACATCTCTAATGGGTTGGTCACAGAATCTAATGTGCTTCCCTTGATAAAATATTATATTAAGTGACTGCTTGGCATCTCGGCCCGCTCTCACTGCCTGTTGCAGATGGTCAACAAGACATCTACCAGGTCCAAAGTGAATCACATAGGTCACATGTAGAAAATTCACTCCCATACTTAAAGATGTTGAAGCTATAGCCACTCTTACTGTTCCAGTTCCATTAAATAATGTACATATTCTTTTCTTCTCAGATTCTGGAGTGGCAGAGTAATATACCCCTAAAAGGCGTCTCCCTTGGGTGGTTCCATCAACATATGCATCATTACCGAGCTTGGCCATGAGTAAACTTAGCACCAATACAATATCACTAACAGTGTGGCAGAATATTATGGTATATGGTGCATCTCCTTTTAGTGACTTTAGAATCCTCACTAGCCAGTCAAAGCATGAAAGATTCTTATCAGCATTTGCAACTGTAAATTTTGCCTGTTGGGACTGATCAAAATTTCTTTGTGCTCTTTTAGGTTTAAAAGTTTGCAAAGTTTCTGTCTCATATACTTGTCTGCAGTTGCTGTTAGCCCCAACACAGGAATATTACCCAATAATGAACGCAAGTCATTGACATGACCTAATGCTCTCCGAAAGGCAGCTTTTCCTTTTTTCCCACTCCTCCTAAAAGATTTAAAACAACAAATAAATCAATGTAATAGTAGTGTAATTATTAAGTAATCTTGTACTAGACAACATTAAAACATAAACAAGATGAAAGCCTACAAAAGTTGAAAATTTCAGTAATATTTTAGGTCATTTACCAATGGGGGATAAACAAAACCATAAGCCCTTATATTGCTCCAGTCATGACTGTGTTCTTGTATAAACGTTGTAATTGGCACTTACAGTATTAGCAGGCACAACAATATGTTTATAATTGAAAACTATACATAATATTGCATTAATCAGAAATACTTCTTACCATGTCTGAATTGTGTGCACTTCGTCTACTACCAATACCTCTGTTTCGTTGACGTAGCCGTACTTTAAGTTCCTAACCCACTTATCGGATAACCACTGCTCAGCACTTCCGAAAAAGACCTCGAATTCGCAAAGTGTTGTATCATCACTAGCTTTAACATCATCGAGCGAAGCAGATTTGATTCCCCTTGTATTCAGTCTTTCTACTTGCTGCTTACGAATCTGTTCGAGTGGACTGACCACGATAACTGTAGCTGTCTTTCTATCCACTGTATGATTGTATCGCAACTCGGATATAACCTTTGGGAGTATTTGGTAGATGATACTCTTTCCGTATCCTGTTGGAAGAACTGCAAGAACGTCCATTTTGTCCAAAACTATGTTCCGAATACATACTTCTTGCTCTTCTTTTAATTTAATGTATGGAAAAACCTAAGTGCCGCTTTTAAGGCAACTTTAAAATGGTCGTGCGCCATAAAAATACTTCGCCAAGGCCAGAATTAACTCGAGAGTCAAGATTGCTGTATTTTATAATTATACAGAATCTTGATGATCATTTCCGGTGACGTAATATTTCGAGTGGTCTCATCCAATCAACGCTCAGTCCAGATTCTGGACTGAATAACCAGGCAAAATGCCGTTTTTGTGTCAGGCCGTACTTTCCCCCCCTTCGCCCGTGATCAGGCGTGCCTGTGCCCTAAAAAGTACGGCCTTATACTCAGGTTAACACTTCAATTGTATATTGAGTATTCCTCGATCCATAATTGAATATAACTATCGACACTGTTACTAACATTGCGATTCATTCCTTCATCCCATTGAATTAAACACTTTATGAACTCGAATAGCATTAATTTTGTATTTTGTTTACAGTGATAAGCGACTAACTTGACTGTTTTATGAAAACATTCCCTCACTGAACGAACATCCCTTCGGAAGTAACATATCACCACGCAAAACTAGCACACCGGGTGGGGTTGTTTTAAAATGACGAATTTCATTGGTCCCTTATATACGAATGCATTACGTCACCGAAATAGGATTCTCTCTTGGGTTCGCAGACTGTGTTTCGTCTCGGGGGAGCGAAACGCGGTCTGCGTTACGGAGGCTAAGTTAGCACAGGCTACCAGCAGTGCATTTAGAGCAACAAACTATTGAATTTGAATGAGAGAGGGATTTCATATATGGATCCCAGTTATATTTTGGTATGTACTTTGACTACAGTATATACCCTTATAAGTAATTTAATTTACTCCTTGTTGTCACTGTATGTATATATGAAAATATTATGATTTAGAAGATAAAAGAATGGTAAGTTTTTTGTTTGTTTAACCCCTGCCCTAATTTTATTTTCATTCACTTATGTGCTACTATGTTTCTAAGTAAATTACTCATGCTACCAATTAATTTTTTCTTGAGTTTTGCAATTCTGACGGATGTGAATGGTGCCATGCTACATTACCTCAGCCGCTGAATAAACCAAAGTCTTGTTAAATTCAAAATATAATGTGGATATTTTACAGTACAAAGACGAATGCTGATTTACAAGATTGTATGGATATATTACATCTAATGCAATGGGATGGAATCTGCCATGTACATATTATTAAATTACTGTACTTATTTCCAATCTACAATATGGGCGTCACGAACATTGTATATGAAGATAGTATATACCGTTATATGCACAGTAACCTAACAAGTTATTGGACAATGATGATGGCCAACAATGGACGCTACCTGCACATGGCTAAATAAATATGAAACATCTACATATTGGACAAAAACCAATAGTAACACTTGTTTACCAAATGGACTATCATTACTTGGAAAGAATATGAAATCTTGCAACAAATTAGCCATATCACGTTAAAAGACGTATGGTGTATAATCCTAATCGTGTTCTTCTAGACATTTTGACAAGTGAATATGGTTTAAAACATCAGAAACAACAATCATGTGCGTAGATGTAAAATAAAAATCCGAAGTACACTTTACAGTATACAGTAATTATTGCATGTTTCGACTTTCAATATATTTCAAACAAAATAAATTTATACATACCGTGTATAAGGCAACTTAAATAAATGAGGTTTATTGGTATAATCAATCCACAGAGCCTTGGTCGAAAGGCAGCACTTTTCTTGCGATAGTAACTTCTAGTATCAAGTATTATAACAGGAAATACGATTTGCTTTAGCATGCTCTAGCCAATTGAAACCCCGACCCCCGGGAAAGATCGGGCAATAAACGGGGGAATGGCTGTGGATTAACACGGTCTTAATGCACCATTTCCCCCGAGGTACAGGGTAAATAACAAGTCAATTCATTAGCCGGGACAATAGCCGGGACTTTAACACGCGGCTGATATGAACGTGGACTGGAATGAGTATATCCTCGTGGCAACATGGCCGAATCTTCAAAATCACAGAATTGTTTCCTCATAGTTTTTCTTAAAAAAAAGGGAATACATTTTCACTTTTTATGTATTCCTCATGATAACTGCAAGATAGTCGAAACGTTGATTATTCAGTATCTTTTGATGCGAATCAAAGTTTAAGATCAAGAATTGCCTTCACATATTTTGAACGACATTTTATACTTCAACGATTTCCCAAGTCATGAAAATTTGCAAAGTGCCGGGGACTTAGGGGCGGTAACTTTAACAGTCAATATTCCGCCCGGTTGCAAGGAAATTACCAAAATTTAACATTAATGAAAAAAAATTTTCAAAAAAGTTAATTAAAATGTTAATTAACTAAAATGTTAATTAAAATGTTAATTAAAATGTTAATAAAATTGTTAATAAAAATGTTAATTTCCCCGCCCTACCCGGGGGTCGGGGGCCCTGGGTTTCAATTGACTAGTGCATAATCATTGTGAAAATGTGAAATGCTTAATTTAAATATGAGTTGCGTTTTGGATTATTGGAGAAAAGATTAAAATCTAGGTAATTTAAATTCTCTTCTGTGATCAAAAGTTTAAACTGTGTTAATACAACAGGTGTGACTACCAGTGGGTAAAAGCACCGGGCATGAAAAGGTTTTTCATTAATATTTCGACACTGAACTACATTTTGTTGTTTCTTAAAATAAAAATATCACTGTTCCCAATAAGATTTTGAGTTCACAAATCATCAACAAAATGCACTTTGGAAAAAGTTTTCATTATTAATTAAAAAGTATAATTAAAATTAAATACTATTTGTAAATGTCTAAAACTAAATAATTCTAAAATATAATTATAAATTGAAACATTTAGGAAAAGCTTGGAAGAATGACAAACATATACTCCAAAGAATATTTTCTTGTAAAACAAAAATATTTAATTTATTTTCTTTCACAGATAATTCCTTACAAAGTCTATTAAAACTAATAAACTTATGACCACATAATGAACACCAGTTGCATGATCGAATCGCTTCAAACATCGTTCAAGTCTTCAATTGGCTGGAGTCACCAGAGCAGAAATACTTCCTCTTTTTATTCATTAAGTATAGATATAATATCTAAAGGAAAAGTGATCTCATATAGTTCACACATATAGGTTAACGATCAACAACTGAATCTCAATTTTCCTGAAACATAAACATCAAAAAAGACGTAAAGACATTTGAAATCGTAGGTTATTCTTTATTTTCACTGCTTACAAAAATTAGAGACGTATTAAATAATTTAGGAGCTTGTATATAAAGGGCAAATTTTTTATGCCATGCATAATTTCTTTTAAGAAAAGTGCAATGTGTACATACATACTTGGTTCACAAGATAAAATTATTCCTTTCCACAACTTCCATTATAATAATAGTTTTTCTTTAATGTTGGGTAACATTATCTAAGTTGCTTTCTTTCCCACGAATATTCTGATAGGCGTTGGGAAACCAGGGATTTTTATGTGTTTCCTGTAGTTCCTTGAAGTTCTGTCTTAAAATTGTCATGAAGATCTTATCAGATGATGATGAATTATCTGTTTGATATAGATATTAATTTAAGGAGAAAGGAATGGGGGTTGTATACAGGAGTATATTACCAGTCCGTGCAAATCATGAAAAAAATTATTTCATGTAATCAGAAAATTATGGATAAATCTATATATGGCTTATGTTCTAATGCATTAGGCCACATAAAAAAAATTTGGTTAGCGTCCTCGCCAGCCCATAAAAACGGCCTCGCTCACGATTACCAGATTTTTAAAAAAAAATTTATTTAAAAAAACCCCAACTTTCATTAGTCAACGGGCCCTAATATATGTAGTATTCCTGTCGATTGCAGTGAATTGTGTTAATAAGTTGTAAAATTGCATGCGAAAATGACGGTATGAATCATATTTTGAAATATATAAAAAATATCTGTACTGCGCAAGAAAATCCAGTTTCGAAACTAAAACCAAGGCGTTCAAAAAATTAGTAAAAATTTAAAAAAAAGCGCTCGCCCGCCCACTTTTTGGCAAAAGCTAAGGACGCTAACCAACTGGGTTTTTTTATGTGGCCTTAGCGAGATTTTTTATAATTGCAGTAATGCATTAACGCCTTCCTGTTTGAGCCTATATAAATCATTGTGAAAATGTGAAATGCTTAATTTAAATATGAGTTGCATTCTGGATTACTGGAGAACAGATTAAAATCTAATTTAAATTATCTTTTGTGATCAAACGTTTAACCTGTATTAATACAACAGGTGTGACCACAGGCGGCCCAGACGTGTATTAGTGCCTAGTAAATATGTCATTATAGAATATACTACACAGTAAAATTTGTGTTGAATTTTATATCTTATAATCATATTTACTTTCCTACTTTGATTGTATGTGATCGTCTTTTATTTCTGGGCTGCTTTACTCTGTGCCTGCGCTGTCAACATAGGTGACAGTAATGAAAGCAAAGGCAAACGATGCCAGTTCTCAAACAGGCGACACGAACACTTCAACTCGAAAAATATCATTGCTTTGTTCCCGGTTAACGGGTTAAAATTCGCCAGCGTATAGAATAAACACCCATCTTCGAGCATACAAGGCAATATTAACATGTCCTATAACTTTTGCAACGGATTTTTAGCGAAATGTTTTGAGACTAAAATTCTTTCGAACTTAGGGGCCGATTACATGGAGCATTTTCATTATATTATAAAGTGCCAATGGTTGGAATATTTATTCATTGATATTTTAAACACAGATGAAGTGTTATATGCTCTTTCCTTGTTTTACGTTTTCCTTGCAGCCAAATGTTGAAGCTGGTAAGCTGCAAAACTGACATACGAGTGATATGAACCAAATATTGGATATGCATCTTAGTTTGCTTCCAGTGAAATGTAAACAAGAACTTAAAGAATTCTATATGAGATAAGAAATATTACGTTTAAAATCATGACTGGCGAATTAGCATGTGGGAATTGACACTTCCTAATAATATGTAGTCCTGTAAAGCTTGCTTGCTTCAATTCTTGCTGTTAGCATCTGCACATTATCAGGGTGGAGAGTTGATTTGAATAAAAGTCCCAGGGGATAAAGGTAGGGAATAGATTTTCCATAACAAAAGGGGCAAGGTGCCCAACCAGTTAGAAGATAGCATGTACTTTAAGTGACCATTCATTATACCCTAGGGTGGGGCGAAAGATTCTTATGTCAAAATGTCATGGGACCCCTTTTTAAACTCTTAATTTAATAATGGAGACCCCTCCTAAATATTTAAGACTATTTTTACTATACTACTAATTATGATGCAATTCTAATCTACATTCATGTGATTGCCTGACTATGAAGAAAATACATTTTGCAACACAGGGATGGATCCGGCATGTTCTGGTAGGGGGGGGGGGTGCTCTGCCTGCTCTGGTGCAGAGTTGTGTCGGTCATGTGCTGCCCACCCATCAACTTGCGTCACTACTGCAAAGTCTTGCTTTACTACTGTATTTGAATTGTAATTGTTGTTCACAGCTCGCTTATCATCATGTTATTACTCAAATTACTGTATCTCATTTTGCCTGTAATAATACTTTGCTTTATCATGAAAAATAGCACTCCCCTGCACCCCCTCTGGCCAGGGCTAGTGGTGCACCCCCCCCCCCAGTAAATCCTTCCCTGTTGCAACATACACTATAAGAGCTAGAATGATAGTTTCTTTTGGATGATTTATCTTAGAATTATATTACCTATATTACAACAATTCTTCCTATTCTAAAACCAGTTGCTATTCTGTTTTTAAAACACTCACCTCCCCCCCCCCTCTCCCGCAAAAAAGGCCCCAACAAATCAGGAAACCCCTCCAAGGAAATTTTGCCAGCAAAATAGATTTAATTTGATGGTAATTGTTCTGAGAATATATTAACTCATTGAGTGGCAGCATTCTGCCTAGACTTGCCACAAGTCAACCTCGAACGAAACGCAAGCAGCGAGTGTGAGCCGACGTTTCGTTCGAGGTCAACTTGTGGCAAGTCTACATTCTTCCCTTCGGTAAAATTGACTGGCACCAGACGGAGTAACATACTAAAGTAGGGCACATTCCCACTATAAAGGGTTAAACAAATTTTTAAAATTTTTGCAATGGTCTATATTCAAAAACCTCTATTTGTAAATTTTAATTGGCTTTCATATACCTACTTATACTTATAGCTACCCAACTCCTGCGAACAGTCCTTTATTACACATTTGAAGCATCTCTTGAGGCATCAAAGTACATGCAGGCACATGGAATTACATACGAGTATGTGACATATAAACCCATTATTGCACAACTTTGTCTGCAACAATGCAAATACAATCAAGTTGGAAACGGATTTTATCAGTATTTCGATATATATACATTTTTGATATATATACATCTGCACTTTCATATATATACACCTGCACTGCGAACAGCCCTTTATTACACATTCGAAGCATCTCTTGAGGCATCAAAGTACATGCAGGCACATGGAATTACATACGAGTATGTGACATATAAACCCATCATTGCACAACTTTGTCTGCAACAATGCAAATACAATCAAGTTGGAAACGGATTTTATCAGTATTTCGATATATATACATTTTTGATATATATACATCTGCACTTTCATATTGAAATTGTTCTAATATTATCCAAACAAAACACATCAGAAAACTGTAACAAACTGAGCAAATCACTTTTTTAACACAATTTATGGTAAAATGAAGCAACATGTAATAGTATCTGAAACAAAACCAAATCACATATTATTCAAAAGTTGTAAACACTGTTGCATATATGATATCCTCGCATTTCTAGTGGTAACTAACTATACAAAATATCCTTGCATTTCTAGTGGTAACTAACTATAAATTAGGTCAATTTAAACTCGACTATGAAGAATATCAAAAACTAAAATCATGTTTCAGTTTATAAGCCCAGTAGTTTATAAATCCTTCAGTTTTATAAATATAAACATTGATAACGCTATACCAAGCCAATGAAGGCACATAATTTTTGCCCTAAATACTCGGTCAGAGCCTCAGAGGTGTGTTCTAGTACACAATTATTCTTCTCTCACAGTTTAAAACAAACAATAATACTAACCTTCGACAAATTGTGTATAAATCTTATCGAATTTAACCATTTTGCCACATATTTTGCCAAAAATATTTCTTAGACGGACAAAGTATTAATAATGGACACTCCTTGCGTGAAAATGTTAATTTATCCCAAAGTTTGAATAAATTAATCCAAGATTGTATTATTTGCATAATAATAGACTTGTCATTGACCAATCAGAATACGTAGAAGACCGGCCGGTGCCAGGGCCTTTTCCCGCTTCCCAATGACAAAAAGTGAAAAGCCCTGGGAACGTGGTTGTGTAAATACATTTTGCATCCGTAAATACAATTTCTTATGCTTGATCGAACGGTGGTATTTTTATCCTTGTTTTTTAAACAAAACATCGACGGACATAATAAATCCAAGCTATCCCACCGTGCTAAAACCACCGAAGAAAAAAAATGCAATTGCCAAAAACCAAGTGAATTCCCTATGTCAAAAAATTGTCTAGCAAAATCTGTTATCTACCAAGCCACAGTAAAAACATCTGACAAGCGGCCCACTCAAACATATGTTGGACTAACAGAAAATGAATTCAAAACTCGATACACCAATCACAAAGCTTCATTTAATAACTATGAGAAGCGTAATTCTACTGAACTAAGTAAATACATCTGGAATCTTAAGAACAATAATATTAGTTACTCTATCAGATGGAAAATTTTAAAACGCGCTAAATCTTACAGTAATGCATCCAAGAGATGTAACTTGTGTATCTGGGAGAAATATTTCATTATTTGTAAACCGGACATTGCAACACTTAATCGTCGCAACGAACTTGTCTCCACGTGTAGACACGCTAATAAATTTCTACTTAAAAACTTTATAACTTGATACTAATATTTTCGTGACACTACTTGAGGTGTTAATTGATTTGTAATTAGATAAGCGTCCTTTATACCATCGCTGTACATATTTAAAAAGTTCGTTAAGAAGCTATAGGTCAAACATAGGCTATTTTATCTGAAGAGTGCCACGTTATTTACGTGCCACGAAACTGTATAGTAATAAATATGCCAAACAAAGCTTGCTAAGTTTTTGTATCTTTCTATTATGCTCTGGTTATCCATTGAGCACTCTATCATTGCTTTTTATAACCCTACACAAACTATTTTATATATATATATATATATATATATATATATATATATATATATATATATATATATATATATATATATATATATATATATATATACCCTGCACAAACTATTTATATATATATATATATATATATATATATATATATATATATATATATATAAAACAAGGCCAATATTCTCGAAATATCCTGGGGTTGTTGCCTCCAACCTTACCCCAACTGTGTCCCTACTAGTGACTGTACCCTCAGACTCTGCTGCATCTTACTCAGCACACTACGTGCTCCTTGCTCACTTTTCTGCACACCCACACTCCCCAAGCAAAATTTGAAAATCTGTCTATGATGGTGATAATTAACTTATAAAAGTATAAACCTTTATTATTAAGTCAATTAAAGAATCATTGTCAACTACAATGCATTGCATGCTTGTGTTTGTTTATACATATGGGATCTGTGCAATTAAATATGATAATTATTCTCATGATATGATAAGTACTGCGCTGCCTGCTATTACAGTATTACTTGAAAGCCTTCAGGGGTGGATCCGGAAAGGTTTTTCTAGGAGGTGCTGGGTGAGCAGCCAAGTGTTTCTTTATAATTTTTTAGGGGGTAGTGGGAGTGAAACGACTCCAACACTAAAGGCGCGAGCTTCCTAGGGGGTCGAGGGATATGCCCCCAGAAAATTTTGAAAATTAGGACCCTAGAAATGCTACTTCCTGTGATATGGACATTGAATTATGAGCTTCAGTTTGACTTCAAAAAAGGGAAAACCTTGGAAATTATGCCATGTTTCTGAATTTGATTTTATTGCAGCGCTGTTGACCAAGGCCAACAGGGGTGTGCACCCCCCTATTAATCCACCCCTGAATTAAGTTAACACATACTCCACTACATCATATATACTTAATTACAATAATTTTAGTGTTAATTTAAAATTATTCACTGTTAATAATTTTACTGTATTGAAAAGTCCAATTAAAATAGTTCAAAATGAATCCAGCTTTTGTGTCTTCAATTTCCATACATCTTGCTTGTACTGTATTTTGCCTGCCTCTATGGGTTAACTAGGAAACCAGAGTGAGTCAGGACAAATGCCAGATTATGATATCCCAATTGCGAGATAATTCTGGAATAAACAAAAATATATTATATGTTGTAACTTTGAGCACAAAAATGATGATGGGAAAAACAAAACAATGCGACTCAACTCCAAACCAGAGACACCAGAACAATTGGTGCAATTATCAGGCTTAACCCATTGAGCCGCAATGCGCCCCAGCGTGCCCTACTTTGTTTTACTTGTCTGACACCAGATGATTTTACTTGTCAAGTGGGGAAGCTCTGCAGCTTAATGGGCTAACCAAAAAATCTGACAATGCCTCTAGTTAACACATTGAGCTGCAGTGCGCCCTACTTATTTTTTTAACTTGTTTAACGCCGGATGATTTTACTCGTCAATGGGGAAGCTCTGCAGCTTAATGGGTTAATGGTATAATAATCAAAAGTGGCCAGGATACAAGGTACCTTCCCAGTGCAAGGGAAGCAACATACAGTAGTTATGAAGTAATTGCCAGATTGTCATCCAGTATCTGGTGTTTCAAATTGTTAAACCCATTAAGCTGCAGAGCTTCCCCATTGATGAGTAAAATCGTCTGGCGTTAGACATTAGTAAAAAAAATAAGCAGGGTGCACTGCAGCTCCCAACATGTTGTAAATGGCCAATGTAATATCTTTTCATCACACAGCAACATTTTCATGGGGGGGAGGTATATTTAAGTTATATATACAGGTATTTTGGGAAATATTCGAGTACTCCAAAAGTCTTGTCATAATTGACATTGATTAGCCTTGTATGCAAACTTGGGACATATTTAAACAAACATGAATATATTTAAACACATACGTGACATACAATTTGCTTTGAATGAACGTCTGGAGTTAAATTAATAGCATTTTCTAAAGTAATTTATAAATAACAAAAAGTTGTAGTTCTGCAACCAAATTTTGAAATATACAGATGCCAAATTATAAAAAAAACCCAGCAAAAGGCTGTTTTCTTAACAAAAAGAGTGCATTTCATCGTCAAGCTTAAGTTAAGCCTACCAATTTTATGTGAGATAAGATAAAGCATAAATAAAATTGAATGAGATAGGTGAAATACCTGATTATAGCTCGCTGATTCAAATATCCTCTTTGGCTTTGCTCATATTTTGCGATGACAGCGAGGTTTGAATTTCGTTGTCTTTCCCGGGAAGAATAACATGCACGACTTGCACATCTTTGAACCAATAACCGAATTTAGAAAAAATATCTCGAAAACCATTTAAAGAGTCAAATATCGAGAAAATACTACAAAACCCGAGCAAAATTGCAAAAACCTAAAATTTTTTAAACAAAACCAGGGGGGGGTGGAAATTGCAGCGGGCTCAGATCCGAGCCTGGTCAGTGGTAATTACCATGAGAAATACGGACCAGTTGTCATGGAAATGGCGTCAGCAAAGGCCGAAATCCGCCAATTTTTTGGCTTCACTTTTTTTTCCCGTGCAGGTCCTCCAGTAATATAGTATAGCTCAGTGTATTCTTCGCGGTTCTTCTGAGAGCATACCCTGCAACACTTGGTGAGGAAATTTGGAGGAGCATCTAATACATCTTAGTCGCCTTCGAGATGTCACCATCGGGCCACCAAGGATAAAACAGAGCTCCGCGATGCTCAGGTTTAACATAGATCTGATGAAACATTCTCTTCACGTAGCGGTTACGGTTATATTTTCAAGTCTGAATCTCAGTATCACAACAATGAGTGAACTAATGTTTTCCGGCCACGTAACTGTTCATCGTTCAACGAAGTTCCGTTGCTCTTGCTAGCACAATCGAAAACTACTCCTTGGAAACTTCTCTCGCCACTCTTTCTTCTTGCTATTTCTCCACAACGCAACCTCGTTCCCAGGCTCTTTGCTCTTGGGAAGCAAAGACCCTGGTCGGGGCTGGTCACGTGACCCATAGAAAATTGATAACCTAAGAGGGGGATTGGAAAAGTATCAAATTACATGTTTCCACTTCCGCACCTCACACTTCGATTGCAAGGAGTGATCGTTCTATACAATCATCTTTGAGAATCATATATACTTCAAAATACTTGCTAAATTGGTTTCTGTTTGCTTTTAAATTATACAAACATGCTAAACTGTAGATTCTTATAGCAACAAACAAGTCAGAAAATCAAGCAACGAAAACGTATGATCGTATATGCTTGGAAATATTTGCCCTTTTATTGTCTCGACGCGGGGTTAGGGCGCAATTTCATTTCACGCGTACGTTTCTGTATCTGGCTCTGGTTCAGATACGTATAATATTCTTATAATGTGCCATTGAATTGTTGTCATACGGAAACGGTATAAATTTTGTTAAATAGAGGTCTCAAAAGCGAGTGTGTAGGTCGTAGGCGCTACGCCTTGTTGGTCCTACAGCAAACGTTACATATTTGGACACTAGCCAAATAGACATTGAATGCCCATTCTATTGATTCTAAAACGGTTTATAGACATAGTGCTCTAGATTTTTTTAAAAAGGTTATCATCGTTTATATTCAACACAAGGTAGGAAGGAGTGTTAACGTACATGTACAAAATTGTTTGGGATCAACAGTAAAGAATTATACGACAATTCACAACTGTATGCATTTCCTTTTTTGTCTGCACGAGTACCTGTTTGTTGAAGCCAAAATCACTAAATCAGATTGCACAGAATCTCCGATATGAATCATATAGCCATTCACTCTCGCCCCTTGAATGCAAAGGAATGATAGCCGAAAAGGTTTAGCAAAGTATTTTTTATTATATCTGGTATAAAGTGTCCCTACGTTTTATCAGGGATATATATACATAATTCATAAACTGTATATATGCGCACGAAGTCCAGCTCATAGAATTACTTAATTAATGAGTTTTAATAAGCCTTTTAAAGTTTCCATTGATAGATAAGTTGTTTGCCTCTAGTATGGTTTGGTGAAACTGCTAAAATGTCATTTATACAGCATACGATAAAGATTATTTAAAGTTGATTTAAATATTGATGACTCACAGCAGCATTATACAAGTCCAAAGAAGCTGTCGGGTTATTCTTCAAATATAAAGCCCTGAATGGGCAATGGGAATGAAAGGTCTTTATAAGGTTTATAAATTAATGTACCTGCTGTAAATTACTGTAACACACAAAATATGAAATAATTTACTATGAAGTACAATACCAGTGTCTGGTGCAATCTGGTGCATATATCGTCCTAAATATTCAAGTTATATGTACCGCACGCACGGAAACGCACAGTGGTCTTGGTGTTCGTCTGATGACAGATAGCTATACTTCGAGTCTTCGACATAATCATTCTTGATCGTTGAGTTTCAGCAATGTAAATGAAAGGAATTTTACAGTCCATAACGGTTTTAATCCTGTGCTTTCACAGTCAAGATAGCACTATTGTTTACACATACATAGTTAGCGATGTTTGGGAAATCTTCCATTATAAAATAAATCCTTTGGCTTTGTTGAATATCGGACAGGATACACTTCAACAATAAACAACCATATCGTTCATTTAGTATCGTTTGATCGTCAGTCGGTATAGAATTGGGAAGACTTATATGTTTCTACGGCGATGCGTGCTCAACTTCGCAAGCCAGGCGCGTGTGGAGTCCTTGGAAGTGAAATATGATCCAGTTTGTCGCTTGAAATGTACCGCAACACTTATTATTGATGACATTCAGTATAGCAGGAAGTTGTGTCGTGATGAATACGAATTTAAAACTGTTCCTTTCACAATTTCTTGTTGCAAATTACATTTTTATCACCCGAAACTATAACACATAAAATTGCAATTTTCCAAACGTAGCAAACAGACTCCTCTACCACCCCTCCCTGAGATCAATTCAATTTACCACGCAGAATCTGCGGGGTCACGTGACCAGCCCCGACCAGGGTTTTTGCTTCCCAAGAGCAAAGAGCCTGGGAACGAGGTTGTCCACAACGCTGCTGTATTTCTTACGGAAGTTTTTATTTCTCTCCATCTTCGATTTTAAGGATTTTCATCGCTTCTCACCTGTGTAAAGGCTGTCTGGAAGGTGTGGTGGGTTGTGTTTAAAGGGAAGTCCGATCTCGTAATGCTCATTTTTCAATATGGTGGTTTTCTTCATGATTTCTTCTGCGTAGCGAACTTCAACAGACATATTCTCATCAATATCGTCATTGATGCCATCAAACTCTGCGTTGTACATGCGCTCTAATTTATGATCGTGAATGTCGAATTCTGATCTAATGGAATTAATGGACACTTGCTCGCATCGAGGTTCTCCCATTGCACCATACACTGTCCATCCTAGTGGTGTCTTAACTGCACATGGTTGCCCTTTCATTCCATCTCTCCGGTCGATGTAATTATCAATTACATCAGGTTGATCATTTGCTTTCAAAATGGTAACCTGTTCATCTCCAGTTTTAGGTAAGACAATGTCCTGCAGGTGAGGCAACTCTTGAACTTCTTCGTTGGTCGCTACGTGTCCCGGAGACCCCGGTAAGCTGTCTGTGGTTAGTACATCTTCAAGCTCGAACTTTTCAATATTCGATACCGACTCGATGTCCAACCGCACCTCATAGCCTGCCTTCTGTTGTTGCGAGTTCACTGCTGTCGTAGTGTATTTAGCAGGTTTCGCATCAATCACTGATAGATCTTCAACTAAACTTTCCAGACAAAGAGTTGTACCGGATCCACTCCTTAAGAATGCGTGCGTAAGAATTTCCTGAGTTAGGGTTGCTCACCTTGACCGGTACTACCTTAAAACAAACCTGTGCTCGACTTGCTTTGACTGCGCTAATGTTGACTCGCTCTTTTGACGTTCCAGCTGCTGTTGGTGTAGACATATGTAGATTTACCTGATTCTGTCTATTAGCGGCGGCAATACTTTGGATCCCAGCATCCTTCTTTAAACCGTCGTGACTTTGTTTCTCGTATCTTGATTATTGGAATGTTCCTCTTTAGCGTCTTGATCATCACGCATTAGACAATGGTGATGTTTTTCGCATCCGGCTACACGGCAGGTGACTCCACTTTCGCATGACCTCGCAAAATGGCCTTCGCCGAGATATATTCTGCACAGTTTGTGTTGTTTCACAGTTCTCAGACGATCCTTTAGGATGAATTACTTGAATACTTGTCACCTTCAGACACCGTATGTTCTAAACCACTGGGGACACTTACGACCAGTTCTTGCAGGCGTATCTTCCCTATTCAAACCACACTGAATTGCGTTTGCGTTAACTCTCCTATGCTGCTCGAATCTTTACCTGTTCTGAAATTTCTTGTCTTTACTGGCTTGTTAAGCTCTCTCCCATACCTGTTGTTTATACGCCCTGCCACTTTTCCCAAGTGTCATCAAATTGTACATAGTCTTTGTTCTTGATAAGGTCATCAGCTCTGTCCACCCACTTCCTCATTAAGCCATCTTCGGGGAGTTTCCTCATCAACATAACTATTACATCTTCATTCTCTAATCGATTGGAGTAGCTGGATACATGCTCTTTAATGCTCTCTCAGAATCTTCTAGCTAACGTACGAACTCCATCAAGGCATCCGCATCAGTTTTTCTAATTTGAAGTTCTCTGAGCTTCTTCATATGATCCTCTGCTATAATGTGGGGCTGGCCAAACTTCTCAAGAAGACAACTCTTCGCTTCCTGATATCTCTGGCAGAATCAAGGTTGACACAACTTCGGATTGCATCCTTTCCTTTGCCGACACACTGCGCTAACAGGCGAGTGAATCGCTGGGAGTCATCAGAAACATGGGGTTCTACGTTATCTTTAAAGTTTGTCACAAACTCCACATATTCTAGGGGGTCACCACCGAATCTCATGAGCTCTATTTTGGGTAAAGAAGGGCATTCCTTTATGACCTGTGCTATGGAAATCCATACATCTAGATGCGGTTGGGGTGGCGGTGCTGGTTCTTCTTGCAAGGTATTGGTGGCTTCGTGATTAGCATTTGGATAAAATTCAATCCTCGTGACATCTAGTCCTACTTTGGGAATATCGAATCTGTCCGACTCAGTTGTCGCTGGTTTGGGTACATCCGGTTGGTGTAAATCCGGTCTGGGTTCAGGGCTAGGATGATTATGAAGCAATGATGCACGTTGTTGTACCTGTGCTGCTGGAGAATGAGGGGTTGGTGGGTGTTCAAGGATAAATTTAGGTTGACTGTGGTAGGGAATTTCAGATTTTTCAGGGCAATTTGAACTTTGAAAGTCTCGAAGGTATTCATTCATATCATCGACACCTTCGTCATCTGGAATCTGATCAATAACAAAATCAATCTTTGCCTCCTTTAGCCCTGCTTCAGCATTGAATAACTTAATCTTACTTTGCTCAGCTACTTCAAGTTGGCGCTCTAGCTCCTGTTTCTCCTTTAAGGTCTACATTTTCAACTTTGCCTCTTCCATAACCTTCCTTCTTTCTTTCTTTCTTTCTTTCACACTGCTTCTACTAGATGTTCGAGTGCTTCTGCTTTTACGAGATGCCAAACTATATCCAGATTCTGATGGCAGCTTTAGATTTCTTTCTCGATTGGTTTTCCACAGCTCTACCATGTAATCTAGTTGTAATTTGACATCGCGTTGATCATTATAATTGTCAGTCATTAAGTCTTTCTTCTCTATGTCACCTTCATGCTGCATATAATTCTCGAGACTAATGACAAATTTATGAAATGTTTGTTCATACTTGTCCTTTCTTGCATTTACCTCTTCTGGTCGAAATCCTTTGTTAGATGCTGTAACATGCTAAGTTCTCTTCGAAATTCTTCCATACATCTAAATCTTTCATGTTTTGCATTAACCGTCATTTCAAACCTTAGTTCTTTATCATGTGTTAATTCGTCATCCTAATTCCTTTGTATTCGTATTATTGTGTGAGCAAAACGAAGCAATATGCTTGGCCAATTTATTTATGAATTATTAATGCGTTTGAGATAGATAATATTTTACCAGAGATATCTTCATTTTTACGAGATATCTTCATTTTTATGGAGATATCTTCATTTTTACGAAATAACAAAAAGTGTTAGCTATTTTTCCCCAATCCATTTTCTTATGCTCTGAGAATTACCTGAATTTACCGAAAAATCTTCTGGAAAATTACCTGAATTTACATAACAATCTACTGGAAATCTACCTGAAATTGCTCAAGAGCAATTATTAGGGGGTGTTGCACCCCCCCCCCCCCACACACACACGCCACCTTGTGACGCGTCATAGATTTGTTTCATGTGCATATTGAACAACCTAAAATATCTCAAGAAAAGAACGAAAAAGATAAAGAAAGGTTGTGAAATGACTTATTTTAACGAGATGTTTCTGTATGAACAGACTTGAATTTCATTGCCCATAAACCTTCAATTATATATAAAAAAGAATATGCTGTCCATTGAAATTTTACAATGTATATCATATTAATCACGAAGTTCTCTTGCGAGATATTTAAAAACGTTTGCCTGCCAGAAAACGTATATACAAGGCGAAGGTTTTATTTTGAAGCAAGAAATACAATAAACATCCACAGTTTAGTTCACAATCAAGGCAAAATAATCGCACTTTAATGTACCTCTTTGCCTTTACCTCCAACAAAAAAAACGTAGATTATTTATGAATTTCAGGGAAAACAGTCTTATCTTTGCATTTGGTTTTACGTTTGGTTGTTTATTTAAAAAGTACAATTGAACTCTTTGACAGCTTTTATTTTTTTTTAAGGTGTGATAATTGACTTGTGTTCAGCCTCTGAGAATAATGCTGTCATCAGCAATAAGATGTTTTCGAACTATTTTAATTGTATCGACTCAAAATATTCGATGAACTCTCGTAGCAAGGATATACGGAACCTGTTAAACAGCCAGCATTATACCTTAGTTATACAATTTGGTGACGTCATCACTATAATCAATCTTGTAATCAATAATGGCTACAATGGTCGTAGTGATTTTAATCTGAGCACTTGATCTTCTAACTTGCTGCCCTGAAATTCTAGCCTGAGGGATAATCGGGCAGAAGGGGACGCTATAAGGGATAATCGGGCAGAAGGGGATGCACGCTGTCATTCAGGTTACATCAATGCTGATGCCAAAACTTTTGTATTTTTTAGATGAAGACGTCAGGAATGAAACTCTTGATAGCTGTTGTAATGACAGTGGTTGTCTTGGCAACAAGCGCGCCATCAACGAAGAACGTACTGGATATATGCAACTACCACATTGGGGGTGCGAAATGCAGTGCCTGTTGCAACGCAGCACTTAGACATTGCAAAATATATTGTAAAAGCTTGGGTTGTAACCCGTATAAAAAGGGTGTATGCGATGTAAAAAACAGCAACAAGTATTTCATGTATTCATTCAAGGCAAAGGGTTGCCCAACATGCATGAATGACTAGCAACGTACTTTCAAAAGTAACGATCCTTCAGCTGTTGTCAATTAAGTTATTAATTAATGAACAGTAACATAATAATAAGTTCGTTGTTTGTAGAAATTAAAATTGAAATAAAGAGCATTGCAAATTCACAAGTCTTACTTTGTACTTTGAGACTATCCTTATGAGCACCGACATACTTCAGCGAACTAATTCCATGATGTGCCAAATCCTTTGATGTGCCGAAAGAAAACCGGCTAGTAGAAAACTGGCTTTACGCCCCTGTAGTGATTCTATAACCAGTGCCGTCGAAAGCAAATTGTTATTGCATGTGTGTGGGGGGTAAGGAGCTCAACCAAGTTCGTTCGAGGGAATGTTCCTCCAGAAAAGCATTTTGCCTCGGAAGAGCATTTTGTTTGTTTTCTTTAATGTTATGAATTTCATGTATTAAAAAATTCAAGATTTTTTAATTCACTTTAGATCAGCTTTTTACAACTTCATCCTCCCAGTTTTGAAACAACGATTGCCCTGTATACAATCACAAGCGTGCACAAATTGGATTTTCAAATGATATATCCCGTTAGATTGCCGAGGGGGTGTTCGATAAAAACTATGTTTTTGTCAGTTTGTGATAATTTTCAAATAAATCAGCATATGTGACAAAACATAAGATTTTAAAGATTTTTGCTTGCTTACACGAAGTGAGAGGTTAGTTCGCTCACTTCAGAATGACACAGTTAATTCGTCAAAGCTTTTTCTTCAAGATTGGTTTAGAAAAAAACTTGGAGTAATGTTAGATTAGAGTTAGTATTTGGAAAAGCGTTAGTATTAGTAAAACCATTGCTTTGTTACGTTTTGTCACCTGAAACCAGCGAAATAACCTCTTCCTAGCTACAGCACAAGCGCTAGGATGCAAAATGGCGCCAAGTAGATGTGTGCGATAGGATTGGACGTATATAATCCGACAATTGACTAATGTTTAAAATCCAAACCGATATTGTCTAATCCCATCCGACCCGAGTTTTACTAAAGAATTCCAATCCGATCCGAAGATTGCTTTAATAAAATAAATTTTTCATTCAAGTTGAAATATTTAACCAAATAAATATAAAAGCATGAAATACAAATTGAAGAATCAAACGAATAATGCGGCGACAACCGCGATAGTGCTTTGATATAAATGCATAAATAATTAATTGTTGCGATAATAATTCATTCATTCTATTTCGGATATCGAAGTCCAATCCGAGAACGAAACGACTTTATCAATCCGATCCGAAATGAATATTTTGGTTCCGAAATCCGATCGGATCGGATTATATTCGGATCGAGTTTGCACACCTCTACCGCCAAGATTAGTTACACCAATTTGTGGGTGACGTCCGTGTTGACAAAAACATCGCTTGGTTAAAAGATCATTAACACACCTCATGCATAATGACGTCAGAAGGCTTAATGCCCGCGAGGAATGCTGGTCTTAGTAGTCATCGCCCGAGAAAATTTCGATAGTTGCCATTTTGAATTGTTTAATTTTCCCGGGCGATAACTACTAAGACCAGCATTCCTTGCGGGCATCACGGTTAATAAAAATGGGAGTTATAACTGATCGAGAAATTGAGTTTCACAACTATGATATTCATACAGTTCTTTACAAATATTTTTTTTTGAATGAGAGTTATGCTATTTTAATATTAGGGGGTTATAAGATGGCCCTGATAAATAAAGTGGATTCTTTCTATTTATTGCATTCACTTGCCAGATACTTTAGTGGCATGCCTAACCTTAATAGCACGGCTGTTGCCATGAAATTTACTAATATTATTGGTTTAGAGCAATATTTGTGTTTTGTTTCACTGAAACTACATGCAAATTTATTTGAAATTGTTCCTGTCGAATTATATAAATGTATAGCTTCCAACAACAAAAAAAGAAAGCAGTGTGAAGAAGCTGACATTGACAGACAAGCTTGACTTCAAAAGGATAGTGAGACTAAACAAAGAAAGCGATCACAGGAAACTGACAATGAACAACAAATCAGACTTCAAAAGGATAGTGAGTCTGAAAAAAGAATGCGGTCAGAGGAAACTGACAGTGAACAACAAATTAGACTTCAAAAGGATGGCGAGTCTAAAAAAAGAAAGGGGTCAGAAGAAACTGACACCAACAGACAAATGAAACTTGAGAAAGATAGACTTTATCAAAAACAATCGCGGGCAAGATAAGTGTCAAAACCTCAACATCAACAGGATTATTTAAATATGTTTGAGAACACCGAAAATGGTGGTACTGAAGAGCAATGTTGGGCTAAGGCTAACATTAATAAGTTTAATAAGTCTGTGTTATTATTTATTGTACTGTGTTCTCGGTTTTTCATTGGCTAAGAGCCTACAAATAATTTTGGGTATTTGTAGGTGCCTGGGCTATTACCAGCGGAAACAGTATTCTGCAGAGGTTATTGGACTGCGCCCGAGATATTTCAGCGGTATTTTACGTGAAAATACAAATTGGCGGGAAATTTTCAGTCGAATTTACGAAAAGTTAATCAATTCAATGAATATTTATTTCTTTTCAATTATTGCTTGTTTTGTTTTCTTTCTGTCGCCAAATGAATAATAGAACAATTATTGAATACGGTTTGCGCAAGATACCAGAATTATTCAGACCTCGGTCAATGTTATCTGCCTCAGACTTCGGCTTCAGCGGATAACTTTGACCTCGGTCTAAATAATTCTGGATATTCTGCTCAGCCTCAGCCAATAATTGGTAACAAAATATTGTCAGTCAATGCACAGTATGTAGGGAGGCATGGCCCTTGAAGTCTAAACCAAGGACACCTTACACATGTTCACGATGCTCTAGAGATAAAAAATCTCCTAAAAAGTTTCCTTGTGAAAATTCAATGATACCATCATCTGCTTCAAATGAATTGCAGATTTTAACTCAGATTGTGGAAATGTTAATTGCTCGTGCTTTGCTTATCATGAGAGTTTATATTAAACCTGGCGGCCAAAGAGGTTATTCAGGATAAATAGATAGCTAGATAAACTTTATATAAACACGCTGCCCCGTCAACCGAAGCTGATTCCCACGAGGGGCGTGCGAAAAGTATACAGAAAAGAATTTAAACCTTTTACAAAATTATATAAGATACATAGTATTATATGAGCTAACAAACTAAGGTAGTAATCTATATACAGGTAATATTAACATCTATGTTAATTAGCTATCAATCAATGTGAGTAGTGATTTTTCTTCGAATGGAAGAAAAGGATTTGCTCTCTCTTATTTGTTTAGGAATAGAATTCCAAAGGTGTGCTCCGTCATACACGCAACTTGTTTTCATATTATTAGTACGTGGTTGTGGTAAACAAAGACTACTTGAAATGTTCCGAAGTTTGTAGTTTGTTACCTCACCCTTATATGAGAAGAGATTACTGAGTGATTTGGGTCCCATTTTATTCAATAATTTGGACATGATTTTTGCTTTACTTTTCTTCCTTTCTGTTTTAAGTGGCTTCCAACCCAATGCTTGCAATGCAACAGAGTGATCTATGTCATTGCTCATATTCAAAATAATCCGAGCAGCTCTGTTTTGTAGTTTTTGGATTCTTTTTTATCGCGTTTCTCCAAACACATCCCATAGTTCATAGCAGTATTAACTTGCCACAAAATGTCACAGAACTTGCAACATCTTTGCCAAGGTACCCCAAAGACTTAGCTGTTATTATTGTCAAATATAATAATAATAATATCTTCGATTTCTATAGCGCACATATCCAAAAGTTGAAGGCGCTTCACAAATAAGAAGAAGTCGATACAATTATTTACATTAATGTACATGCTGTATACTTAAATAAACTTACAGACCCAGCTATATCAATCAAAAGAAAGATACAGGGAACTATTATTAATCAAAAGTTTAAAAAGATCAGTTTTGAGATAGTTTTTAAAAGTCGATATACAGGATGCCTTTCGCAAACTGTGTGGAAGTTTGTTCCATAGTTTTGGAGCACATACAGCGAAGGATCTGTCACCATAAGTTTTACTTTTGGAAGAAGGCACCAGTAAAAGCTCACTTGCAACTGAGCGGATGGATCGGGTTGATGTTCGATGTTGCAGACAACTAGACAAGTAGAGTGGGCAGACTCCGTTCATTGACTTATAAACCAATAGAAGAATTTTAAAAACGATTCGGTAACAGGAAGCCAATGTAGTTGAATTAAGAGTGGTGTGATATGATCATATTTCCGAGACAAGGTAACAATCCGAGCAGCCGAATTTTGGACTGATTGCAGCTTCGAAAGAAGACGTTTAGGCAAGCCATACATGAGTGAATTACAGTAGTCCAACTTCGTTGTTATCAAGGCATGGATTATCACCTCCACTGATTTTTTTGTCAAATATTTCTGAATTCTAGAAATATTCCTGAAATGAAAGAACGAGGACTTGCAAACTTTCTGAACATGATCGTCATAGGAGAGTGTCTCATCCATAATCACACCAAGATTGGTAGCCGAACTCGAAAAAGGAATGAAGTGATTTCCAACTTTGATTGAATCGCGGAGCGAAGGACAAGGCCAAAACTTCGATTGCATAAGAACTGATATTGTTTTATCATCATTGATCTTTAATCCATTAAAGAGCATCCACCGTCGTATTTCAACTATACAGTTTTCAACACGAGCTTTCACCAAGTCGACGTCACTATTCGCCTCAAAGGACACATATAGCTGAGTATCATCAGCATATATATGATAATCAAGATCATACCTCCTAATGATATCAGCCACAGGGGCAGTATGAAGCAAATAAAGAATGGGGCCGAGGACAGAACTTTTTGTGGAACTCCATATTTGAGATTGTGGGTGGAAGAATAAGTGCCATTGATATTGACAAACTGACTACGAGATGACAAGTACGAGTTAAACCAAGCAAGAACATTTCGACTGATTCCGAATCGTTCAGCCAATCTAGATAATAAAATCTCGTGCCCAATGGGGTCGAATGCAGCAGATAAATCAAGGGATAACGAGGATGACCGATTGCTTCTTGGATGACCGAAAGTAAAAGGTAAAGATAACACGTTCAGAGATGAAACAGTCCGAAAGCAAATTATGAGATTTATATATTTTGCCCGAATGACACATGAATTTCTGCTCAATTGCCCGACCGTAAAAGGGGGAGGCATGTGCCCCCCCGGCCAATACGCCTATGGATAGGTGAAACATTGAATTGTGGTGAATTATGACCTTCAAATAATGACAAATTACATTTTTTATGTGCTTGAAGGATATGTTTGATCACTTTGATGGGCTTTCCTATACCCGTATGAGACAAGGACAGGTGGAAGGGTAGATAAACTCCAGATATTTAGAGTGAAGGAAATTTGAACAAAGGCTAGAACATAATAATTTAAAATCAGGTTATATAATTAATATTACATGAAAATTTTATGCCCCTTCTCAGAATGGTCAGCACTTATGAATGTGCCCCAACTCTACTTAGTCAGCCCAGATGTCAAAATAATACATTGTTACGGGCAAAGGGCAAATTCCTGAAAAAGAACATACATTGTAATCAGGATTGGTGAGAAATTTTACCAATTTAAATAAACCATTCGAAATCATTTAATTTGTGTCTTAACTCATTGAATGACAGCACATTCTATCCCCTGACGAGTAAAATCGTCTGGAATTAGACAGAGTAAAATAATAAAGTAGAGCACATCTGGGTGCATTGCCTCTTAAAGGGTTAACAGAATCCATGGGCAGATAGTCAGATTGACCCATTGAGTGGCAGCACTCTCCTTCCGATGAATAAAATCGTTTTAGATTGAGTAACATAATAAAGCAGGGTAAGCAAATTGGCTTTTAAACAACAGGCCACAGGTGGAACAACTTTGATTTACTTTTGTACTATTTGTTTTTCCTTTTTCTCCTAGGCTGGTATCTCAACTTGAATTCCATTAAATTTGTACCCACACCCATATCGACCCAAATTTATGAGGGAATGTTGAACTCTTAGTTGGGTTAAACTAAATGGTAAAAATTCAAATCAATCATCATAACAAGTTTGTGCCAATGTTGGTAGTGATGATAACATGCTTCAAATAGAGAGAGATTCAACTACCTGAAGAAAATATTAGAGTTATAACTTTGACATTTCAAGTGAAGCCCCTTCGTCTCGAAATTAGTAGATGATGGCGTTCACTTGAAATAAAATGTCAACATTATGCTTGTATTTTTCATGTAGTTGAATCCCTCGATCTCCATCCAAAGCTTTCTCAAGCTTCCTAACAGTTGGTTTTTAAATTTGGTAATATTTCTTTGAACATAGATGTTGTTTGGATCAGAAGTTTTCTTCTCTGAAGTGTTGAAGGAAGTAGACCTGCATAGCAGGTTAAATTTTAACACAGGATTTGTAAACTTGCCTTTGATGGATTAGAATGGACGGCCATGTTCAAATCAAATGTAAACTCTCTAGTTTGGGGATATATAATACATTCTGAAAACATTGCACTATATGAACACACTTAAAATTACCTATCTTTCACTATTCGTTCAAAATCACAAGGATTTTATTACAATCCATTTGAACGATATCAGTTAATAAAAAAGCAACCTTTATCTTGTTCAAGTGTCCACTAACTGGTCAACAGTATTTAACTTGGGTCTTCAATTGTTCAAATCCACACAATATTTACCACGAAACTTGAGTTTGTAAACAAAGCCTCTGATTGGCTTCTTTTAATATTGTACATTTATCTAGTTATCTATTGTGTTACCCAATAATTAATAAATAAAAGGTCAATAAGAGGAATTTTCAAGAATGTGGAGTTAATATTCTGTAAAAAATATGCGAGATACTGTACAATATATTAGCTAAAGTCACTATCTTTCTTCAGCTTTTTATCCGCTAATCATAATATTATTCGAGGTCAAGTAACTACAGTACCCCCAGTGATTTGTTTCTATTGGAAATCTTCTTTGAACTTTGAAATGTTCTTATGACTTAATCAAAGTTTCCACGGCATCATTTTTACATACTGTGCCAAATGTAAAAAGCTTTCCTCTTTCTCTGCTTAGTTAAACACTGGTTCACATGACTTTAATATAAATATCGCAAGTCCACAAGACAGGAAGCCCATGCAAAACTATGTCGGCAATCTTTCCTCATGCAGTAAGTTAAGTTATGTTAATAAGGCCAGAAACATTAGTAATTT